CCCCCCCTCCCCCGTCGACAACATTTCCGGGAAAAATTTTTTAGGTGCCCTTTCCGATAGTAATGTGCCCCTACAAGCCGGTGCCCCCCCAAACTCCAGGTGCTTCCTACGCCCCTGGTGTCGTACCTTACTATGTGACTACTCGCCCTCCAGCTATTCAAAAACAGCACTGGCACTCAAGAGAAGCTCAGATTGAACCTCCACACATTGAGTGTGAGTGTGAGTGACCTTTTAGAATACGGGCGTTGCTTTCAATCAAATTAATCAATTTCGTGTAAAATGTAAAAAGGCTAGAAAAGGTAGATGATTTTTTCAATATCGTCATATAACTTCCTTCATTTAGGTCCTGCACAGACGAGTAAGTTTTCCTTGACAGTTTATACCTTCTTGTCATGCGTACGGTCAACAAGTTTTCCTTGACAAGTTTTGTTGTTAAACATTTATCTCATGCACGTCATGACGTCAAGTCCAACTTTTGTTTGCCAAAACCCAAGGGTGGGTTGTAGCGAACTACAACTTTCAAGTAGCCAGTAGTTTTTTACTACTTTTTAAAAACAGTAGTTGTAGTTATGGCAAACTACATTTTGCCTAAAAGTAGCCAAGTAGTTGACTACTTTTCAAACAGCGAATCGCTATTCGCTACTTTTTAAAAATTGTTAGCAACTTGATAGAATAGCATGATATTGAGGCATGGTTTGCTTAAAACTATCAATACTCAATATAGTCAATTTGCACTCTTGAACACTGTAGTGCTTACAAAAATGTTGCTTTGTGTTTACTGTTGCTACTCGTAAGTCGATTTGTTATAAGTTACATTTCAGCCTGAGTTAGTAGATGCTCCAAATACAGTAAAACTAAAAAATATAGCGTAGCGAAATAGTTCGCTACATTTTTTAAGCAGTAGCTGTAGTCAGTAGCGAACTACGTTTGTTCAAAAGTAGCAGTAGTTGTAGCTGACTACATATTTTTGAAGTAGCTGTAGTTATAGCGAACTACAAAAATGTTGTAGTCAACCCACCCT